CCGCCGCGCGCGCCGCGGCCGCCGCGGCCGAACTCGCGGGGCGCGGCCTCGCCGGCCTCGATCCTGAAGCCGGTCTGCACCGTCTCCCGCTCCTTCAGCTCCTTGCTGCGCACCTGGACCGACAGAACGGGGGGCGGACGCGCGAATGCAATCGTGAGGCGCTCAAGCAGGTCGTGGCGGCGGCAGAGCCCTCCACAGGCGCCGTTCTGCATTGCGCAGCGAGCACACGAGGCGCGCTCCAGGGGGCCAAAACACGGCGTCTAGAGCCACGACACTCCGAGCCTGGCACCTTTCTTGCCAACACTACCAACACTTCACGTTCACAGAGACCGCACACGCTCGCTGTCGCATATGCAATCAACACACACACACCCTCCCCGCCCCCTCCTCCCCACCTTCTTCTCCTTGGCGTTGATCTGCAGCACCTCCTCCTCGGGCTTGGTGACGGCCTTGAGGCCGCTGAACTCGCTGGCGTCCACCTTGCGCTCCCCGCGCGCCTTGTTGAGGGCCGCCTTCTTCTCCGCCACCAGCGCCTCGTACTCCTCAAGGCTCATCTCCTGGGGGTGGTTCAAGATGGGTGGGGGTGGGGGTTGAGGTGAGAATGGTGGGGTGCAACCGGGTTCGAAAAGTGCTATTTCTCGGCCCCTGCTGTGTGCAAGACCAAGCACCAGGAACCGTATAAGTTGGCCATGCCTCGCTTGCGGGGGCGCACTGAGCCGCTGCAGCTGGCGCCTATCTTGGGTGAGCAGCCGGCCTGCCGCACCTTGACCTCGGGCTCAGCGGGGGCGGCCTCCTCGGCCTCGGGGGCGGCGCCCTCCTCGCCCTCGGCCTTGGCCGCCTCCTCAGCAGCGGGCGCCTCCTCGACGGCCGCCTCGCTGCAGGGGAGGAGTGGGGGTGTTGAGGGCGGGGTGAGGTGGCGGGAAACTGCAGCGTGGTTGCGCCAACAGGTGCCTGAGAGAGCACGGCTGCGAAGTGTACACCTGTCCACGAGTTGCCACGGGGCAAAACTAGTGGTCACGTGCACCATTGGTCACGTGCACCGTTGCCAAGACATCGAAACGGGCAAGCCGCAAAAATGTGCATGCTGCTGCGCCAGCGCCTGCGGCTGCACCAGCTACTGCCACTGCAGCTGCCGCACTTGCGCCCGCGCCTCGCTGCCGCTGCTGCCACACGGGCTGCGTTCCAGTGCCCGCGCACGGCCCCAGAGGCACGCACGTGGCATCGCGGTCGGTGCCCCAGTTGCCCCTGCCACCGCCGCCGCGCTTCTCGGTCTCATTCCTACGCATTGTTCAGAATATGCACCAGCCGCGAGGGCGGAAGAGGTGAGCGCAGGAGTCTGACAAGGACAGGCGCGTCCGCGGCGGCCAGATCAGCAAGGGCCGCCGCAGAGGTGCAGCCGCAGCACCCGACAGCCTCCAGATCCTGCAAGTCAGCATCAAGACAGAGGTGCCGATACCATCGTGGTTTCGCAAAAGGCTCACCCCCTGCCAGTGCCGTCGTGGCGGTCGAACTCGCGCTTGGGCGGCCTCTCGCCATAGCTGCCGCGCCCACCACGGCCACCACGGCCCCGGCCCTCGCTCCTCAGACGCTGCTCGCCGCGGCCGCGGCCGGACCTGTCCACATCACCGCCGGCATCCTCCTCGGTGCGATCTCCGCGCTCGGGACCCCTGCCACGGCCCCTGCCACGCGCATCACCACGCCCAGGGCCACGCCCACGACCCGCATCGGTCTTGGCAGCATCCCGGGGGGCAGGGACCGCAGCTGTGAGGGCAGACGGGGCGGCGGAGGCGGGTGAGTCCGCGTTCCGGCCCCTTGAGGCAGCGTTGCCCGCGCAAACGGCTTGCACTCATTGCATATGGATTGTCACACACAAGAGTCAGGTCTGGTACCCGCCATTGGCCGAGAGACTCACCCTTGGGGGCCTCCTTGGCAGCAGGCTTGGCTGGCGCGGCGGCCTTCGCCACCGCGGGGATAGCGGCCGCGATCACCTCCGGATCCTCATTCTCATCCGCCTGAAGCAACTCAAAAGGGTTGCTCATCGTGGCTGACCGGGCGCACCTCGTGCACCCTGTAGGGACTGTGTCCCGTGTTCGTGTCTGATATAGTCGACACGACTCAATTGAAGAGGGCACCACAAAGGACTGCGCACCTGTTTCCCCTGGCTGCTTGGGACACCCGGGTGACAATGCCCACTCTGCTGCCCGCTGCTGCCCATCCCCATGAGCCACCCCGGGGAGTGGCTCCGCTCCCGAGGCGGCATGCGCGGCATGAGAAGCGAACACTCTCATGCGGGCTTCCCGATACTGGCCTTGATGAGGCGGCCGGGGTGTCGTGGCGGGCATGTGCGGTCAAATAAAGCACCTGCCGTTGCGGCACTGCGATGGGACTTGCTTCAGCCTGTTGCGGGTTGCAGACCCCAGTGACCGCGTGCGTGCTGTATCCTGCCCCCGACAAGATGTGGAGCGCCAACATCAGTTGCAGGTGCCTTGTCCATGCCAGTGTCCCAGCCAGCACCATCACGGCGCAACAGTGTGGGACGGGCGAGTGCGGCGGCAGCACGAGCAAGCAGCCGGCGGGCGACCCAGTGTGTGGCGCCGACGGCTAGGGGTAGGGCTGGCATAAGCAGCAGCAGCAGCAGCAGCAGCAGCAGCAGCAGCAGCAGCAGCAGCAGCAGCAGCAACGGCATTGGGGAAGGGGTTCCCACGCTTACCTGCAGGAAGCCGTATTGAAGGCAAGTTGCCGACCTAGCTTCTGCAGCTGCTGCTGACTGAGCGAGCACACCGGGCACGCACTAGCCAACACGGCCGACGGAGCCGGTTGGCAGGGACAGCAGCTGGATGGCGGGTGGCGTGCTGCAGCAAGGGCGGGTGGGCGGCCTGCCACAAGTGCTTTGCTGTGCGAGGTACTTGATGAGGGGTTGCAGAGTGGGTTGCGGCGTTGGCTGAGGCGATATGCGGAGACCGGCGATGCGGCTAGGGTGGGTGAGCTGAGGTCAGGCAAATGCATGCACGACTGAACAGCGGGGTACGAAGCTGTCGAGGATTCGCAGCACATCCTGCTTGACGTCGGTACGCTGTTTGCAGGGAGCGGACTGTGCCATGCCACACCACGGTTGCAAGGTGTTACAGCAGGTGCTTGCCCTGTGCTTGGCCGGCTGGGACCGGACCTGTTGCTGGCAATGCCCCAATGGAATGCATGTTTCAGCATGCACGCACGAGGCTTTCTGGGCGCGATGTGCACGCCTGTAACAACCCGAGGAGGGCATTTCGACAAATCGACACTTCCTCGACCCAGACACCGCAGCGAGCACAGGTAGCGGCCAGCAAGTCCGTCGGATTTGGTTCGTGCGGCGCAGTGCGTGAAATGCGCAATGACAAGGGATGCAGCTGCTGTCCATCAGGCGGGCCCAGGGCGTGCATTTCTTGTGCGCATGTGTGGCGCGACTTGTGGGCCGTCAGGACAGAGACGTGTGGTGGTTGACGGGCTGGAGCATGCCGTCGCAGGATAGCGCGCAAACAAAGCCTCGCCTCAACCAGTAGCGTGTTTCACCGTGCTCCCCGTTGCTCACACCAGCACCCAGCAGCGGAAAGGGTTCGTGTGGGGTACATGAAGGGTACGTGAGGATTTGCAAATGTCCCCGTACACCTCTGGTTTCCAATGCTCGTCTGTGCCCGTTCGTTCCCCTGCCTCCCGGCCGCCGCGGGCCCAGCCTACATAACGGGCAGCCCCAGCGCCTCCCGCAAGTTGCGGAACGCCATCCGCTCCCCCAAAGTGGACACTTGCGCCAACAGCCCCGCCCAGGCGTCGTCCGGCAGGCCCCGCAGGATGACGGCGGGCCTCAGGCGCTGGTGAAGCAGCACGTCAACCAGCTCCTCCGCATCCCCGTGCTCCCGCAGGAACGCGAGCAGCGCCGCCCTCGCCGGGTCGCCAGCAAGGTCGTCCCGCATGCCCGCCGCCGCACCGCCCGCGCCGCCGCCGCCTGGTACCGCCGCTGCACCGCCGGCGTAGCCGCCCGCTGGTGCCGCCGCGCGAGGGCCGGCGTAGTCGCCACCGCCGCCGAAGCCGCCAAAGGCGCCTCCCACGCCGCCTGGCGGGCCCCGCGCAAGCACAGCCGCCAGCGTGGCGCTCGCCAGGGCGTCAGCGCTGAGGGGGGCGGGGCCGCCGGGCAGGCTTCCCCTGCCGTGGCCGTCAAAGTCAGCGCAGCTGGCCCGGCTGCTTGGCAGAGCGAACGGCGGCGGCATGCCGCCACGCACCAGCGGCTCGCCGCCGCGCAGGCCGCCTGTGCTGGCGCCGGGCACAGGTGCAGGCCCGTTGCGGACGATGCGCCCCTCCTCAGCGGAGCAGGCCACGTCAACAAACATCTTGAAGTCGTCCTAAGCAAGCCAGTGGGAGGGGAGGCAAGACGAGGAGGGTCGGGGCAGTGCCACATTCGTGCATGCGTGCTTTGACCACGACCGACAGTAGGACAGCCGCGCTCATACATACGCGCACGTCCTCTCCACGGCATCAGCTGGGAAGTAAAACAAATTTCCGGCCCGTAGCTGCCCCCGATTTTCGGCGCCTCCACGCACCGGGCCTGCGGGAAGCTCCTCCCCCTCCAATCCAACATCCTGCGAGCACAAAGCGGTCGCATGGTCAGCAGTTTGCCAAAATCAGCAGATGGTCAGGAGAGGCAAAATGGCCCAGGCACTTGCATATATCGCAAAGAAGCGCGGGCCCGTCCCTGCAAACGTGCTGGGCCTTCGTGCACGCCTGCTTTCAACGGCGCACGGTAGCCACCTGAGTCTCAGTCACACAACGCTGGTGCTGTACTGCAAAATCCCATGAGCCTGGATGGCTCCAGGAGCGGGCGACCGCGGGACGCTGTAGCAATACTAATCCTAATCCTAATCCCCTGACCCTCACCAGGCGACCTCTCGTGCGTGGCTGAGCGCGCCGCGGCTTGCCGTCGTCCTCGTCATTGTGGCGCGCCAGCTTCGCCTTGGGCTGCTCATCCTCCTCGCCGTCCTGCTCCTCGTCGCGCTGCTGCTGCTGCTGCTGCTGCTGCTGCTGCTGCTGCTGCTGCTGCTGCTGCTGCTGCTGCTGCTGCTGCTGCTGCTGCTGCTGCTGCGGCTGCCGCCGCTGCTGCTGCTGCTGCGGCTGCCGCCGCTGCCGCTGCTGCTGCTGCTCCTCGTCCTCGAAGCTGTCCTCCTCGCTGCTGCTGTCGCCCTCACCCGCCACCTCCCCGCTGCTCCCCTCCGACCTGCTGCCGTCAGCTCCACACGCACTCTGCCTGATTTGTGCCGCCTTTGCCCGGGCCGCCGCGGCGTCGCGGAGGGCAGCGGCCACGGTGGGGGTGGTCAAGACGCCGTTGCGGATGCTGGCGTAGTCGAGCGAGCAGGCGGAGGCCATCTGGCAAGGATGACGGCACCCATAATTGGTGCGCGTAAGGTTAGAAAAGTCAAGGTGTATACATGCGTTTGCTGGGCCGCCCTTGTGTGTGGGCCCATACATCACATGCTGGTCTTGCTGCAGTCAAGGGAAAGCAGCATAAGGTTGTGAGCAGGGCCAAGTCCGCACGTGCTTTTGACGTCAAAGATGTCAGCAGTGCGCTTTGTTGCTGCTTCAGTGCGGGGCGAATTGCGCGCCCACCTCCTCAGCCATGTCTTCGCTCGAAAAAGGCGGCACGTCGTAGGGGAACAGCAGCCTCTCAAACGACCCGGCCAGCGTCTGCGCCGCAAGCAGTGCCTCGACGGGCTTCTCGTAGCGCCCCACAACCAGCTCGTGGGTGGCCGTGCTGCGGCACCTGCCAGACTCGTCGAGCTGGCGCAGCAGGTTGACGGGGACCTGCACTTTTGCCTCCACCAGGCGCATCACCTTGCGGCGCACGCTGACGACCACGCCCGCAGGGAGCTGTGCCTGAAAGTCGACGTCCGCGTCGCTGCAGCCGCTCGGTGGGGCCCTGGTCAGCAGCCGCTGCGGGTATTGGGGCAAGGCATCAATGTGTGATGTTGAGATCAAGTGGCGGCGTAACATGCACGGCTGCCGGCCGAAGCTGTGTAAGCCCACAGGCAAGCAATATGTGGCCAAGGCGGTGTCGCAAATGCACTACACGCATGCATTGCGCTCCCCTCTCCATCTGTAGCTCCCTCAGCCGCCCCTCTCCCTCTCCCTCTCAAGCTCTCTCAGCCCCCCCTTGCCCGCCCCATTCGTCGCCCCATGTGTCGAGCTTCAAGAATAGGTGGACCGTGCGTCAGCGCCTCCACAGGCAGGCCCGATTGCTCACCCACAGAACGTCGCGCCATGGGCCAAAGGCGGCAGACAGCTCAATCGCGGTCGCGCGGCGCCACCGGCCGGCCGCAGGGTCAAACACTGCCGCGTGCGCAAACACGTCCGCCTGCGGGTCCACTGTATAAAGGGTGAGGCCCTCTGCGGGTGGGTGCACGTATACACGAGCGTTGAGGTGCCACAAGTGGTGGGGTGTGGTTGCTGTTGGTGCGGAGGAGAGCGTGCGGGCGTGCTGGCGTGAACTCGGGCTCGGCACGGTGGTCGTGCGCAGTCTGGGGGCGGGCGGGGTAGCAATAATGCGTGCAGCAAGGTGCTCCAAACGCATTTTGCAGCGCGCACAGGCAGCCAGCGCCTTGAATTGTGTCAAGCCGTGTAGAAGGGCGCGCCCTGCTGCCTACCGATGGTCAGCACCCTGAGCTTGCCGCCCTTGATCTCCTCCGCCACCATGCACAGGACGGCTGTGCCCAGCTCCGGGGAGAAGCAGACCTCCACGATCTCCCCAAACCTGAGGCCTGCCACCTCAGCATCATTCATGAGGTCGACGAGCGTCTTGAGGGCAAGCCGTAACTCGGCAGCGTGCTCAGCCGCAGGCTGCGGCTCCCCTGCAACGCCATCGCGGTCCACTGGCACCAGGTCCGCCTCAGGGACCTTCTTGATCACGTCGTCCGGACCATACACCTGGGGCAAAGGGGGGCACGTCACGGGGAGGCCCATGGCTTGGCTGACGGCCGCAGCAGGGAGACGGCCTGGGTCGCGCGTGCCGACGAAGCTGCTGCACGCTTACCATAATGCACCCACGCCTGCACGCGTGTACGTCTGTGACACCCCTCCGACATGCGTCGGAGATGGGCGACCTGGCCCCCCCTGATAGGTTTCACTCACGCTGAGGGGTCTGGTGACGGTCCACTTAGGGTTGTGGAAATTCTGCAGCTCGGCGATTGACCTGACGGTGCAGACGCGCGCGCTGCCCCCCAGACATGCGCCTAGGCGCAGACGCACCCGCCCTGTCCAGTGCCAAGCAATCTGGCCTTCTACAAGCTTCCAAATGCGCACGAGCGCCATGGATGTGTGGCGCTGGGTTTCTTTCTTTCAAAGGTCAATCCGTCAACTCGGCTCCGCGAGGGGCCGGAAAGTTTTTAGTGTGATGGAAGCAATTTTTTTGTGTGTTTCCATATATTCTGAATATTTCTGGGTATGTGCGGATTGCATACAGAGGAAGTTGCACCAGCAGTGATGCTGAGCTTGCAGAAAACACATCATGCTGCTTCAATAACGCACTCGCGTATAATCGATCTATTATTTGATACATTCTATCATGTTTGCGCACCTCACATACGCATAATGCTGGTTGACTCCACGGCGGACCCTGTAAACAGCACCCAGGCTAAAGCGCCTACAAATGGTTCCAATATGGTCATGGTGAGCTGTCAGTATCCTCAACAATCTGCGCGGATGTCTGCCAGGGGGGACATGGCTCTAATCTGTCTGCGCTGTCGTGCTGCTGCTTGGTGCACCACATGGCGGCCCGATGCATGCAGTGAGTGCCATGCAGCATCCCGACACAGCTGCATGCGAGTAAACGCCACAGTAGAGCTCCTCTCGCTCATCGTCGCCCCGCCCTCAAGCTGGCAACCGCCATCATTGCGCCCAAGGACGTGTTGTGAGGAAGCTCCTACCCAGTGGCACGGTTGCCAGCGCCCTGACGTGGTTACCCGAATCCTGAGAAGATAAGCGGCTGATGCAGGCATAACAGTTTGGCAGGGCATGTGCCGCTCCAGCTGCGGCATCTCCCACACGCTCCACACCCACCAAGTTGACAGCTCACGCTGTTTGCCGCTTGGCTCTAATCGTGGTGTGCCGCATGTGGCAGGG